TTCTATCCAAAGCAATCTATACATTCAATGCAATCCCAACCCAGATCCCATCAACATTCTTTAGGGATATGGAAAAACCAATCACCAACTTTATATGGAAAGGAAAGAGACCTCGGATAAGCGAAGCACTATTGAAGAAGAAAAACAAAGTATGAGGTCTCACACTGCCAGATCTCAAAACCTGCTATACAGCCACAGTAGTCAAAACTGCCTGGTATTGGTTTAATGACAGATACCTAGCCCAATGGAATAAATAGAATTGAGAACCCAGAAATAGATCCATTGACCTACTGTCAGCTGATCTTTGACAAAGGCCCAAAATCTATTAAATGGGGAAGAGAATGTTTAATAAATGGTGCTGGCAAAACTGGAGATCCATTTACAAAAACATGGAACAGGATTTGTACCTCACACCATACACAAAAACGAACTCCAGATGGATCAAAGGCTTAAATTAAATGTGAAACCCAAAACTAGAGTTCCTCAAGGAAAAACCAGGGGCAAATTTAGGGGCCCTGATATATGGCATAAATAGACTTACCAAGCATAACTCAAAATACACAAACAGCAGAAGAGAAACCAGATGATTGGGACCTTCTAAAAATTAAATTTTTATGTGCTTCCAAAAACTTCTCCAAAAGGGTCAAAAGAGAACCTACAGATTGGGAAATAATATTTGGTAATGACATATCTGACTTATCTCTAGAATTTATAGAAAACTCCAACACCTCAATAAGAAAAAGACAAACAATCCAATTAAAAAATGGGCAGAAGACATGAATAGACACTTCACCAAGAAGGATATTCAAGGCAGCCAACAAATATATGAAGATATGCTCATGATCATTAACTATTAGAGAGATGCAAATCAAAATAACAATGAGATAGCATCTTGCTTCAGCACTGGGAGCAAAGTTCAGAGAGACAGAAAACAACAAATGCTGGCAAGGGTAAGGAGAGATTGGGACTCTCATACACTGCCAGTGGGACTGTCAAATGGTACAACCATTGTGGAAAGCAGTATGTGTTTCCTTCAAAAGTTGGAACTAGAGATACCATTTGACCCAGCTATTCCATTACTAGGTATATAGCCTAAAGAAGTGAGAGCCATGACAAGAACAGGCATATGC